TGGCTGCCTGACTTAACCTTGATGAAGGTTCTTCTTGGCACATGACATTGCTATAAGCAGCATTTGTCTGCATGTACAATCAAAGGCAGCTTACGAAGCTCTAGTAGGCACTTGAAGGTCGCTCCAATGCTTTTAGGTTTATGTACAAATTGTAAGACGAAAGTCCTTTTCAAAGTCCTACACTGTCTTGTCTCGGAAGATATAGACTCGAATTTGATTCTTGGGAGCGTTATTTCATTATAACGATAAAATACTATTATTGTTAAAGCAAGACTCAATATCGCCAAATTTATCTGCCTAATAAAATAAAGGGCACTACAATTGAGCAGGAGGGTGACACACATCCCAAAATTGCTTTATTTTCTGAATCTTCATGTCTATTAGTTAGCATTCAATTAAGTTGTCAGTGAGAGAGAGCAGGATATAATTTCTCATTCGACCTCTAATAGTGCTTACAAAAGCACTATCTAAAATATAACAATTTAGATTTATTACGATATAATATAAACATAAGCACAAGTTTTGATTTCTCACACTTGAACACAACTGCAATGTCGGAAGTTAAGAAGCCTAAATCGAGGAAGATTTGTTTTACCACATATGATAATAAAACCGTAAACGTTCGCCTGGATAAGCTCGAAGCCACTGGCACACTGAAGGCAATTGTCGATAAGGCCCATCTAGGTGGGGATGAGTCTGATAACTCTTCTATCAACTTGCCCAAGTGCCTTTGTTTTTGGTAAGCCAATAATGAATTAATAAAGAAGAAAGAAGTGCAACAGGCAGAGGAGAGGCAAAGAGCACAAAACAGGAGGCGTGAATTGCGCAGAGAACGTGCCGCGCAAAGGGCTCTCAATGCTGAACCTGGTGAAGAGTCAACCATGCACTCGGTCGCATCAGAGAAGAACGGCAGCACGGAGACGCTTATGGGTGAAGACACAGACGAAGAGACAGCAATCGATTGAGCTAAAGACAAAAAGCTGTAATCAACATATATTATTTGAACAGATTTTTCGGTAAAACACGATCAATCGCAAGATCAAGCGGACGCAGAATAGACAACATAGTCTATTCTAAAATTTCTAAAATTTTCGTTACTAGTTCAATTTGAGTTTTTTCTGTAAATTAGAAGATATTTATGTGGTTTTTTTTACTACAGTAAGATTATATTGCTTTGGCAAAACGATCAGTAAATCATATCAATATTTAATACAATATTATCTCTAAGCTCAAAGCGGCAATTTTCTTTTTTTTCGGTTAGACAAAGGGTTTAATCATTTGGGTAAAGGGTATACATATTTTATTTGTATTGTTAAAAAACTCCCCAGTCAGTGATTTCTATAGAATTGTTCAAATATCTGCAGGCCAGCAGGCTGCAAATCGCATGCTTGGTTTTGTATTATTCTTTAGTCTTCTTTAGTTAGACTCCTTTGTACGCAGATCAGCGCTATCGTCATACTTTTTAATGTTTCAGTTAAAGACTTTTACAACCGATCAATACAATATTATTATTAGTCTAATAGACTGCATTGAAAAGTGTATAATGCGAAAGGCGCGCGTACAGCGGAAGACTTGATTTATGCTTTCCTTATGCTCCCCGCACCCTTCGCGCCTGCCCATATTGTCAGCAGGCGAATAAAATTGGTATTTATTTATATTTCGCCACCGGGTGACGAAGATGAAGCTGTTGAAAGGAAGAGGAAGAGCTAACGATAGAATGGTGGCAGTAAGCGGGGAATGGAGGTCGGTTAATGGGAGGCGGAAAACGAACGCCGGGCCACGCGGCTATAATAAATGCGGTCAATGGCTGCGGGACTGTCCACGGGCGGGCGGTTGACTTTGTATATATGTACGTGTATATGCATATATAAATATATATAATAAATATATATATCTTAAAAGTATACTCACTTATCTTCAAAATTTAAAATTAAAGCTGGCGCCAACCCCATAACAACAAATAGAAAGAGAAAAACATTTTACTGCCATCGAGTGTTGCGAAAATATCGAGAACTAAAATACGTACCAAAACAAAACACAAACAGGCACATCCACCCACACGCGCACAAGATTCTGAAACTATTTTAGAATATAAAAACAAAGCTCTAGAAAAGAAATAGAAGAGGGCGGTCGGAGCGGGAGAGAGAACGCAAAAGAGTGGTGGGAGAAAAATGCGAACAGTGGCAAAACTTTTTAGTGCAAGGCGCATTTTTAATTGCCTTGACATGAAAAATATTTAATGGCATTATATTCAAAATTTTACCAAGTGTCTGGATGTAAACACCAAAACATTTTTGAATGAATTCGATACGCTCTTTCGTGGAGCACGGCAGCATTTTATTTGAAAGTATTTGAAAACCGTAACATGTACGTTGCTCGGGTAAATACTGGTGCATATGTACATGTACTTGTAGTATGTGTGCGTAAATTAAACAAGCACATGCCAGCATCAAGAAAGTATTTAAGTGTCGTTTTAATAAACCATATCATAGGTTTAGACACACACAAGTCAGACTCAGACTTCAAAATTCACTTCTACATAAATTAATCTTCTTTTAAATATACTTAGTGTGTGCCCGTTCAGAAATGTCGGAAATCAAATGTACGATCCAGAAGGGAAATGCAATATCTTAATTGACCTGTCCTGAGTTCCCCACAACATTCTGGTATCAAAAAATAAAATAAAACAGGAAAACGCTATGCCATGAAAAACCGTCTGATTCATGATTTCCACACAAAGTTGTATATACTTAGTATTTTTCCAATTGAATTTAAGGCATTTGGATAAATAATCCAATTGAATAATGTATTAGCAATGTTTTTGTTGTACTTCTCATCGGGCCATTTGTCGCCCACGCATTCCTCTGCCTTTTTAGTAAACTTCTTCACTATTTTTTCCCCAGAATTTTCCATCTTATTTGGTTAAAAATGTACATACCTATAGTACATATATTGCACAATAGTATAAACAGAAATCGATTGACGAATTTCGAAGCAAGCTGAAAATTTGTTCTTTTTTCGGCGTCTAAGTCTAGAGAATTCTCACGCTCAATATGGAAAATAAAGGTGGAAATGTTCATAAATTTGACCGCGTTCTTTGAATTTCCCGTGGTTTTTTTTCTGTCATCAGAAATTTATGGTCTCCTTGTTCATTCATGATTTATGGGTCTCGTTTTCCTTATTTTGAAAATATAGTATTATATATGAAATAATTGTATGAGCCAATCAAGTCTATGAATGGTTTGTCATTACGCATTAAGATATTACTTTTTGATTTAGTAGGTGCCAATAGAAAGACAAAAATATTTGTGTCCCCATAATGAAAATGTGGAAGTAAAAAAAAAGAGTTCAATGTAAATAAAAGAACCGTCAATTAAATTGTTTCGTGATACCAGCATACAAAATAAATTGCTTATAAATTTCCGGATCTTTTCCCGTTTCCGTTCCATAGTTTGGATACAATTGAAATCATGTAGCATGTTTTACTTTGCCTGACAGAGGTTTCTTCAAAAACTAATGTTGAAGATCTCATAATTCTAAGATAGCGAGAAAGGAATATTTTATCTGTATAAGAATTTGAGTGAATAATTTAATTTATTGATGATGAGCAGCTTCCATAACTCCGACATACCCTAAGTTCCACCACCTAGGGCGGCATTCGCCAGCCCTTTCATCATCAACTGTTTGTTTCCAACTGCGCGTTCCTCAACACGCGCACTACTTGTTCATATGTTTGAGAATATTTATGCATATATGTATATGTATATTCTTATATATTTTGACCTTGTTGCTCGGATGCTCCGCTCAGCTTATGTTACTCACACGCTCGAGCTACTTTGGAGCCGCATTCCGTTTGTATTTTCCAGAGTATTGTATATCGGGTGCACTAATTTTAATTGCCTACAAAGTTTTTCGCGTAATCCGCCTAAATAATTCACTGCCAATTTCCACTAATGAGTTTTTCCCAGCCATAGAGCCATCTCGTCGCCCAATCCCAATCCCCAATTTTTGCGTGCCATTTTTATGAATACAATACTGCTCGACGCTTGTTTCTACTCCATAAAGCTGACTTTATGGGCATCGTCTGCGGCCCAAAAAAAGGGGGGGATAACTTTGATTGCGACGCTTGTTGTATTTTATTTCCTATCGCAACAGCCTATCTACTATATGCCTTGCTTTCAAGCAATCCTGTTCTTATTCCGTGTTATTATTGTTGCTTTTTCTGTTAGTTATTTTTAGAGTTTTCTCGGCAGTTCGCACAGCAGGATATATTAGTCAGCATTGCTTCTGTCTCTGTTTCCTTTTTATGGCCATGTGGAAATTGCCAAACAACTGCCGACTTGACAAGTTCAAGATGCACAGAAAAAACTGTGTGGGGAAAATTATGCAATTTACTTGAATCTACTATATATTTGAATCCGATATAAGAAATTCAAAGAATTTTAAGAAGGACGCTGCACAAGTCTGTTCGAATAATAATGCGGGCTAGTAGGCTGCCAATATAATCATCCCCATTATGGCTTTGCAAAAAGTATACTAAGTCGGTTTTATGTATCTCCAGAAAATTCCATTGATTATTAAAATATTAAAAAAAAACATAATGCATCAAACTGATCAATAAATCAAAATCCAAAACCTCCGAGCAATAATTGTTGCACACCACCACACCATGAATTTTTTGTCTCCGGACGACATCTTTAGTGGTGTGCGGAGGAAAAGTCTGTGCAATGGTGCCCTGCTGACCCTAAACGGAAAGCAGAGTGAGAGCGCCGCCTCCACGCCCAGCAAAAGCAAAAAGGACCGTCGTCGTGGCAGCTTCAATGAGATCTCCAGCAATGGGCATAATGCGGGCAATGCCACGCCCAGCCACAGCGGTCGACGCGCGTCCTTGGTGTCCAGGTGATACTGCAAATATGATTCGACCGAACACTTACTCGCGCACACTCCTCAACAACAAATTGGCGATTGTTTCAATATTTCGTTGATCTTTTATTTTGCAGATGGTTCAAGCATATATCGGATGCAGCCGCCCAACAGTACAAGCCGCGCTCCAAGAACGCCAACAACCATGACACAACTGTTGATGATCCCGCCATTGCCACCATACCGCATTCCAATACCAAGGAGTCGCTGGAGCTGACGCCCGAGCGCATGCCACAACCAGCGACAGCCACCGTCACAACAACACCACTGGCGCCGCTGTTGCCGGTGGCAACCGCAACCGCAGCACCCCTGGCCAATAGCAGCTACGATGGTGGCGTACAGCTACGAAATGGACGACGGGAGAGCACGCCCAGCTCCCTAGGTGACCACGGCAGTTACTTCAATTTGACAAGCGCAGCGGCCAAGCAGAGACTCAGTCACAATGAGACGGGCGCGATTAATCGCACCATGTCCACGCGCAGTTGTGGTGAGGCCATCAACAATAGCAACAACAACCATTATGGAGCTGGTGGAGCTGGTTTGGATCTGAATGGCGTGGCTTTGCGTCACACGCAATCTGCACGTCATGCCAATGGCAATGGCAGCGGCGAGTCGAATGAAGAGCGCTCCTCCACTTACGGTCTGGTGGGTGGGCCCTCGAAACGGGACAGCGCGAGCATAGTCTGCTCGAATAACTCCAACGACACGCGGACGCTGCTCATGCAATCGCCCTTGGTAGACCCCACGGCCATACAGATCAGCATTAGTCCAGCCCACACCGCCGAACCGGTGTTGACGCCGGGCGAGAAATTGCGCCGCCTAGACGCCGCCATACGCGATGGTCTTCTGGAGAAGCAAAAGATTATTTGTGATATCTTCCGCTTGCCCGTGGAGCACTTTAACGAGATTGTCGACATTGCTATGATGCCCGAAGCTCCCAAAGACAGTGCAGACATTGCGCTGGCCGCATACGATCAGGTCCAATCGTTGACTAAGGTCCTCAACGAGTACATGCATGTGACCCCGGAGCAACAAATATCGGCAGTCTCGACTGCCATCTGCGATCAGTGCCACGGAAAGGAGAAAGAGAAACTTCTGCGCAAGTCAGCGACACCAGCGTCCGTGTCTACCGTGCATTCGTCCTCCGCCTCTTCGCCGCCACCGCCGCCGCTGCCGCCTCCAAACAAGCAGCCAGCACAGCAGCAAACGCCCAAATCAAAGGCCATGCCCAAGCTCCATACACCCGTGGTGGTAGATGAGGTGGCGATACATGAAGATGACGACGGCTACTGCGAAATTGATGAGCTGCGCTTGCCGGCCATACCGGCCAAGTCGCCATCGGCGCCGTCAGGGCCCAGCACACCATTGGCGCCTTTCAAGTCGCCCCCCAACAACAACAACAACGCAGAACAACCAGCTCTATCCAACAGCAACAACGCAAGTGGCCAGAGCAACAGCCCTGAGCTGATCAAACGCCAAAGCACCATTAGCGCCGATAGCATTCCCGAAGAATCCGCAGATGAGTTGCATAAAGCACTTACCGGTGAGACGTCCAACTTGGAGAAGGAGCCAACCACAACTGTGGAAGATGCTGCTGCCGATGCTGGTGTTGACGCAGAAAGAGCAGAGGCTGTTGCCGAGGCTATTGCTGAAAAGGTAAAGACAATAAAAACGGAGGGTCTTGCGGAAGTTGAGGCAGCCGCAGGTGTCCACGATGTCATGGCCACAGTTGAGGCTGTGGAGTCAACCGCTGACAGCACGACCATAACAACAGTCGCAGCACCACCTTCGACAGCCGAGCCGCAAAGTCACAAGATTCTAGAGACCAGCACCACAAATGTGGAGGAGGCAGCGAACAGTTCCAGCAGCGAGCATATCGAGGTCAACGATGTCTACGATACTTTGGTAAGTGCGACGAATGATGGCAGAAAGTAGATTATTCCAATATCATCCGTATATTTTTATATTTATTTGTTTACCTGCAGGTCGCACCCAAGCCGCATGTCACGCTCTCCACAACAACAACAACAACAGTAACAACATCCACGGCCGAGCCGCAAAGTTTCAAGAGTGAGGAGATCAGCACCAGCACCACCGCAGCTTTGGAGGAGGGAGGAACTGCAGAAAATACAGCGAACAGTACCAACAGCAAGCATATTGAACTCAATGATGTCTATGATACTTTGGTAAGTGCCAATAATTCCAATATCATCCATACTCGAATATACTTATTATTTTGTACCTGCAGGCCGCACTGAACAAGGCGCATGTAACGCTCTCCATGATTGACAATTCAACACAAACGGCACAGCCACTGCTGTTGCCCATGTCGCCCACTACTAAGGCCCCTGGTGCCACAACATCCACCGGAACCGGGACCACCTGCGGACCCAATCGCTTGCTACACGCCAGCTCCCTGGAGCCGAGCGTGCCATGCCACGCGCTCAGTAACATTGTCAGCGTGCTGAACGAACAAATTTCGCTGCTCTTGGTATGCCACATAAAAATCACCCACATCCACCAAAAACATATGTTCAGCAATTCATATTTTCTCTCTCCATATAGCCCAAGATCAACGAACGGGATATGGAACGCGAGCGGTTGCGCAAAGAGAATCAGCACTTGCGAGAGCTGCTGAGTGCGATGCATGAACGTAATCGAGTTGATGCAACAAAGGTACGCCTTTTCCACAAATAAACAATCCTAAAAGGATAAAAACTAATTTCATTAAAACTCTTCCATTGACTTCCAATGAATCTATCACACCCTTAATGGTAGTAGTAAGTAACTCCATAAGCTTAGACGAAGCGAACTAGGCAAACTTTAAAAACAAGAAAAATTCAGGAAAACCTGATGACTACTTTTATAAATAAAGAATTATTCAAATCAAGATTATAGAGATCTTTAAAATATTGGTGATTTCTACAAAAATAAGTATGTACTATATATAAAATATTTTGATGACCCCTTATCTAGCTTAGATTTTATTTCATTACTATATATTTGTTAATTCTTAAAGTAAGGAAATAAAATACGACATTTTATAAAAGTCAGTTATTAAAAAAAAGAACAAATCCGATAGATAAGAACAAATCCGAGGTTTCAATGCAGTGACAAATATAGGTTATCCGGAAACTATTTTGGCACTAGTGATATGCTTCCAAGTCATTTAGATCTATAAGTATAACAGATTTTATAGAACAGATATTCAGCTATCACGCAATATCGATCGATGAACTTTACTATTTGTTTGTGTATTCCCAAAAGGGGATCAGTCATCGTGTGGTCTGTTTTAAGTTGGATAATCTATATACTTGTATGTATTTATTTGCTATAGTAGCGTTCTCAATTATTTAATGTTGTTTTTTATTTTAATAACGATTTCCAAAAATTAGTATTCTGCATTTCATCTCAGACATATGTTTCGCTTAATTTCTGCCCTTGTTATTATTATTATCTGAAAATTATATAGAAATTAAGCGGAACTAATTGTTCATATGTCCTTATCATTTGTATGAGAGAGATTCCCAAAGAATATTTCTAAATATGTGTATATTTATTTTATTGGCTATAGGAAACTCCAACTGACATCAGGACCATACTGCTGGCGGCTGATGCAGAATTTGAGGACGAAATCGATGCCGTTTCCAATACATCGCTGACACCAACGCCGACGCCTTTGCCACCGACCACGCCCGCCGGCAGCAGCGGAAATTCGACCACCATTGGCGGCGAGTCGGAGCATTAAGTTTGTAAGGGGCGCGCATTTTTGACGGGGGATATAACCGCCGACTTCTTGGTATTTGTTTGTTTTTTATAAATATTTATATATATGTATGTACACTCATATATAACCTATACAAGTACATATATGAAAGCACGCCTTTGGCCAATTGAATTGGTGGCGTCTCTATTTCTCGTTGAACACTGTGTAGACAGAGCATTTCTACTGCTTATATAAATATTGTGTGTGTAGTTTCCCCGCCCCCCCACACACACTTTCTCCCACCCTGTCGCGCACACACACTCGCACACGGTCTTGGTGTTACGCATAAAGGTCTATTATATAGTATTGGGATTGAAATAAGCTTTCCATTAAATAATGAAATATAATACGCGTCTATTCCATTTGATTAACTCACAACAGAAACAAATACAAATAAAGGAGCAACCTATTGATGTAAATGTTGATATTTTTCGCTAACAACTAATTATATTTATATACAAATATACTTATATGAAAAGAAAAGGAAAACCATACACGTATATAACTAAATAAATATTTTGATCTAGCACAAATAAATAACAAATAACGGCTATATATATATATATATATACATATATATATACGCTTATACATACATACCCACATACTATACATAATTAGAACAATACTTGATATGTTAATGTGCCCCAAAAAATGAACGTACTATATACTATACATATGTATTTAATGAGCCCATCTGACGATTTTAATGCGAGATCGAATGGTATTGAGTTGATGAGTAATTATTGGTGATGCCAAGAACATGGTCTTGGAGGTAGCTCAGACCTTAAAATAAGTGGCAAGGATGCATTTGATGCACGACCAGAATTTCAGAGCTTTGGCCGATATCTTGGATTAGTAGTAGGGACCTCTTCTTCGTACTCTTCCTCGATGTATGTAGTTTAGAGCGGTAAAAATGTTACTCTTGTTTGTTTTTAAATGTAGCGACGAGACGAGAGCCATAAAGAAAAAAAAGGTAGCAACAAAATAAACACATAGGGAGCATGTCGATTCTGTCCCAACAAACAATGAAAACCAGAAAAATTGTATTGCCTTTAAAAGCATCACGCGTTTGTGTGTTGGTCTTTATAATTTTCTCAAAATCAAAAGCCAATTTCTCCACTTTGTGCAGTGAAGGTGAGACGCAGCCTTAGCCTTTTGGGACCGACCTAGAGGAGTCCTGTAATACACTTTGAGCAAAGCTTTTATTTTTGTTTTGAAAACAAAAGCAAACCCACAAAATACCCAACATTTTACATTACAAATATATACATTTTTGGATTTTTTTAAGTAAGAGAATTTGTTGAATGCTAAAATAAAAATACAATTTATAAATATGTATTACTATATTTAATGTAATTGAATGTACCAATTAGTTGATAGCAAATAAATAATTAATATTGTAAACACATCTTTTGTCAGATCTTTTACTTTCAACACCCATTTATTCTCTCTGTCGTTCGTTAACACAACACCCAAGCATCCCCAGAATAAGCAGCTGAAAAGTGCACACAAGGCTTGCGCAAAGGATGATATCCTTTTGGAAACAACATTGCAATATCCTGTGAGGCAGCATTTGTGCAAGTCGTCATGGAAGGTGGAATTACCGCATAAGTCTCGAAAGCATATGTGTCTCGACCGCAAAAATTTACTACGCGGAGCAAACGGGAAGTATGTCGCTCGTATGATGATGCCGTTTTTAAAGTTCGCCGGTTCCACACCAAATACGAGTCTCGCTGGTGTGCAATACCAGGCGATCATAAATCAGCTGTAGGTCGATTAGCAGTAGTAAACAATGACACGTGCGTGACAAAACTGCTGACTTTGCTGTTTGCTTACATATGTTTATTTCCCAATGCATTTATGTGCATTTGTCTCTTTTGCTCTTGCGGCTGAAATCGACACGCCCCATTTGACAGTTGCTTTGTCTTGCGTCGTTTGCTATCTACTTATTTGTTTACATTGACGTTTGCAATGCGTGTATATTTATCTCTTTCGCTCTTTAAGTTAAAATCGACGCGTCTGACTTTACAGCTGCTTATCTTGCGTCGGCTGATTTCTATTTCTTTCGCTCTTGAAGATTTGATCTGCACTGGCAATTTACTTGCTGATGGTATTAATATGCTTCCTTTCATTTATGATTGCCTGTTATTGCACGTAAGCCTGACTTGCATTTTGTATGAATCGGGGACTCGATTCCGATTGCCCCAGCTCCATACAAAATGCGAGTTTGAGTATACTGGGCGACCAGGCAAACATAACAGATAGCAAGGCAGCTAAGATCAGCAGCGAGCCACCAACCAACCAGCTGTGAGTCAGCTCAATATAAAATGAGAGAGTGGGGTTTGGACTGAGTTACTTGTTGAATGCTTTCGATGACTTATGATTGTCTGGTAATTTACCCAAACCAGACTCGCATTTTGTATGAAGCTGGCAAGATTTTTGGTTCCGAATCTCCCATATAAAATGCGAGTTTGACTTTGATGGGCGACTAGGCGAACAGAGATGATAGCAAGACAATTAATTTGAAATAAGAAAGAGACGCATATACATACAAATTGGGCAAGTAGATGCGTCTTTTTCACACATGCTGCTTGACTCACAGCTGTTTGTAGCTCGCTGCTGATCTCAGCTGCCTTGCTATCTGTTATGTTTGCCTGGTCGCCCAGTATACTCAAACTCGCATTTTGTATGGAGCTGGGGCAATCGGAATCGAGTCCCCGATTCATACAAAATGCAAGTCAGACTTACGTGCAATAACAGGCAATCATAAATGAAAGGAAGCATATTAATACCATCAGCAAGTAAATTGCCAGTGCAGATCAAATCTTCAAGAGCGAAAGAAATAGAAATCAGCCGACGCAAGATAAGCAGCTGTAAAGTCAGACGCGTCGATTTTAACTTAAAGAGCGAAAGAGATAAATATACACGCATTGCAAACGTCAATGTACACAAATAAGTAGATAGCAAACGACGCAAGACAAAGCAACTGTCAAATGGGGCGTGTCGATTTCAGCCGCAAGAGCAAAAGAGACAAATGCACATAAATGCATTGGGAAATAAACATATGTAAGCAAACAGCAAAGTCAGCAGTTTTGTCACGCACGTGTCATTGTTTACTACTGCTAATCGACCTACAGCTGATTTATGATCGCCTGGTATTGCACACCAGCGAGACTCGTATTTGGTGTGGAACCGGCGAACTTTAAAAACGGCATCATCATACGAGCGAAGCGAAGTAGCCCCATCCATTTTTGCGGCGCGGATTTGGTTCGATTACGACGCTTTGCCGGTTCGACCTTGGCCAGAAGAGCAGTACAACTGATCATTTTTATACCCTATACCCAAAGGGTAAAAGTGTATGCTAGTTTTGTGGGAATGTATGTAACACATCAGGGTGACAAGCCGAGTCAATATAGCCATGTCCGTCTGCATGAACGCAAAAATCTCCGAAAGTATAAGAGCTAGAATTACCAAGTTTGTGTTTTTTTTTGATTAATATAATTAAATTAATTTAAAAAAAAAAATGTTTTTTGTTTGTGGGGTGTGAGTGTGAGTTTAGCATTCCTTCCTTGTTTTTCCTAAATTCGAGCTATAAAGTCACCATTTCTTTTAAATGTCTTGTTTTTATACCCAACTCACACAATGAGTTATTCCAGGAATTGTAATTAAAATATTCGTGACCGATCATTTGGGGAAAGGAATTATCAATACTCTGCACAGTGCATTCTTAATGACGAGAAAACAAGCTGCTTTATCAATTATCGCCGGGTGTTATTTTCCAAACCATTCGGTTTTAGTTATCAGTAAGCACGAGTGCTAGAATAATTCAAAGTGATAAGGAAACACTAGTGCCCCCAGCTATAAGACCTGTGGAGCTCGATCCCAGTTTTTGTGTGCTCGTCTCAACGACAACATGCTGCAGATCGGCGTTATTGGGGCGGGTGTGAACGGCATCGCCAGTGCTATAAAAATTTTAGAGCATTTCAAAAATGTGCTAAAGACGCCCGTACAGGTGACTGTGCTATCTGAGGAGTTCACGCCCAATACAACAGGCGACGGCTCGGCCGGTCTGTGGGGGCCTTATTTACTGGGCGGCACACCGCAGTCGAAGGTTCAGTAAGTACCCAAGTCACTATCAAGTACTTATGTATGTATGTATATTATGAAGAGAGAACCATTTCCAAACAAAAACTAAAAACGTTTTAGAAACTTAGGGAATCATTTGGAATTTTCGAACAAAAAAATAGAAATAGAAAATAATGTGCATAGTGGTGTTTTATGACTACCTATTGCCTTTTTAGCCAATGGTCGAAGGGAATGCATTGCTTTCTGCAGGAGATTTGGTTGAGCGAGGATGCCGGGGAGGCGGGCGTATGTCTGCTGCCCTGCGTGCGCTTGACAACTGCTACGAATACACACGTCGAGGATTTCTGGCGGGATATTGTCTATGGAGCTGTGGATCTGACACCCGACCAATTGGCTGTCTACAATAAAGAGAGGACAGTGAAATATACGTAAGTGGGATTATACAAACCATTATCAATTCATGGCTTCGGTGATATATTCCAGTTCTGGCCTGTCCTTTATTACCTATACATCGGAGCCAAGAAAGCTGCTGCCCTATTTGATGAAGCGTTTTGCACGGGAGGGGGGTCGTGTTGAGCGACGAAAGGTCACCGATTTGGAGGCCTTTGTGCGCAGCTCGACATTTGATGTGATTGTCAATTGCACTGGCCTGGGCTCAGAGGAGCTCCTGGGCGATGGGCAGATGTATGCGGTGCGCGGTCAGGTTACGCGGGTCAAGGCCAATTGGCTATATCAGGCGGTGCTGGACGAGAGCGATGTGGGCAACTACATAATACCCAAGTATGAGTCTTTATCCCTTTAATAGAAACGAATAGCTTTACTGATAGTCTGCATGATCTGCCGCAGCACCGACACCGTCGTCCTGGGCGGCACACATCAGGAGCGAGACTACAACACGCAGGTGTGCCCCCAGGATAAGCAATTCATCATCAATGGCTGCCGGCAACTCGTGCCGGGCCTGGCAAACGCCCAGCACCTGTTCGACTGGGTGGGCCTGCGACCAGGACGAAGGCAGCTACGCCTCGAGGCCGAGCGCAGAGGCAATAAGCTGCTAATACACAACTATGGACACGGCGGCAGTGGCGTCACCTTGGCCTGGGGCTGTGCGGACGATGTCCTGCAGCTGCTGTTGTCCAATCTGGAGCTTAAATCCAAATTGTAGGGTTCCGAACAAATGAAATTGAAACAAAGCAAATGTTTGTTTTCTATATAAATATCCATATATTTGTATTTAGTAAATTGTTAAATATGTAATTCCGTAAGGTTTAATAAATTCACATTTAAAAATACAATGTATAAGCGTTTCATGAAATACGTTACGAGTTATTCTGCTTATCTTCAAACAGGATAAGTATAAAAAAATGCACGACTTCTGCGGACACGTTAATACCAAATATAGTATAGTATGTAAATATGTATGACAGGATGTGGTTTATATAATATGTATGTATTCTATCATACACATACTCGTATGTCTGTCTGTATGTCGAGTTGAGAACCTTAATGAATCTAATAAGTGTCCATCAATATCCGTACGTATATATAAGTATGTATGTATGTATGTATGTATAACATATGTGTGTGTTTGTAGAATGCTAGTTAGAAGTTCTAGTAGGTACAAATGTTCTTAGTAGCTTAAAGTTGTTAGTTTCGAGAGAGAGTTACGAAAAGCGCTTGCAGCTAGACGTCACCAATTTTTGGGAGAAGGTGAAAAACTTTAGGATTGCGGGCTATGTTAGTGTCCTTATTTTGTTTGGTATCACAAAGTAAGCATAAAACTGCATAGGATCGAGATGGTTTACCATTTCTATAGAATTAAAAGGAAACAGATTTACCCTCTACCGATTTAACAGAACATATAGAAAATAGTATGTAAATAATGTGTGTGGACTTAGAAACCGAATAACACTTAACGGCACTTAACAAATTACACAATTCTTACAAATCTCTGATCTATGATTTCAAGATATGAATTTCTGGTTCAAATAATGCGAGTTTTGTAATTGGACGAAAGAAAGGCGTTTGCATTGAAAATATGTTAGTCCTAATACAATACTTTTATTCATTTCTACTTTTACTCGTTCGGTTGGTTGTAGTTTTTTAGTTTTTTTAAATTTTTTTTTTTTATAAAAACTGATACTTAATATTAAGGCTTTATTTAGTAGGCTTTTATAAAAAAATGATAATTGCAATAATAATAATAATAAGACTTGACCATTGCGTGTATGTATTTAAGTAATGAATACACGCGTTTAAATGTTACTTTCGTGTTGGCCTAAGTAGCAAAAATTCTTGATTCCATTTCATTTCCTGAATGACTGCAAATATCGCTTACGTTTATATAATTGAAAGTTTCACTAAATTGTAATTGTTTAGTTTTATAGTTCTCTTTGGCCCTTTTACATCAGTTGTTGGTTTTGCTCCAAACTGAATCGACGCTGCACGGCAATCGATTGCTGCGAAGTCCCCGAGGTATACGGAGCCGTCCGGTAATCAAACATCTTAGTTGCCCTCCGGTTTTGGCAAATTTGTGTCGTAGGCGCGTATAACCAAAGATTGGGGCACCGCGCCTCCTTCCTCTTGTGAAAATGCATATCCATCTGGGAATGGGGATGGGGAGGTACAAAATTAGATTCAATCAGAAATTCCATCTAATTGCGATGCGGGTGGATGTCTGGTTGGCGTGTTTCTGTGATGACTGTTGTGTGTCTTGCTTTCCGACTCAAGTTGAAGGCATTTCAAGCTTAGACATGAAATCTATAATGAATAAACCTAATCTGCCGCAATCACAATCTAATGGTGAACACACGTCTATATAGGCTGTTTAAATATTTATGGCTGCGGCATTATCAATATCGTATTTGGCTAGTCAGAGCCCCCACAACCAATTAAATGCACAATCATTGGCCAGCTAATTGGGGGACCATTTGCAGACCATCAGTACGAGACAGACTCTATTATACACGTATACCCCATATATATTGCTGGGTACTGCTGGGTACTTAAATGCTGTTGTACTCACGCGATAGTTCTAGTTCCGTTTCGACCCTCGTGTTGGCCCGACGCGTAAAAACATTGCGTAGCAATCTCGCAGTTTCAGTGAATCTGTGAAGTTAGTTAAGTATTTTTGTTGTTTTGTTGAGGGGAGAGCACGCAGGAATTACAATTCAACGTACGTTTTATTATAGGAAAATCATTCGCAAAAGGACATAATTTTCAATTTTGAATTGTTAGCATTTTGGTTTTGTCTAAAAGAGTCGAAAACATATTTACTTTTTGCAACTAAACCAATTGAAGGTCATAAAAAAAGTGGTGTACACGGGCAAATAATTGTAATTCTAGGGCTTTTCATGCGGTGTATTTTCATAAGGTGTATAGACTACAAGAAACTCTGGCTTTAATAAAGTCGGCAAATTATAAAGAAAATTGGTGGGAACATGCAGTTTCAGATTGAGCGCTAAGTACAAAATAAAACCGAAAACTTGACTGACAATTAATTACTTAAGGGTTTTTATCCAGTACATACCAAAGACGAATAAGGAATTTGATTTTAATAATTGCTGGGAGTCATTTTTGTGTACTAAAAAGGTAATTTAGATTTCACAACTGAGGATTCAAAATATTTCAATTGAACTACCTTTTAAATTGTAAATAGTTTTTTTTATTTTTTTAAATTTTTTTAGAGTAATAATAGCTAATAACTATCTATTTCAGCCGTGTTCTGGAAGAGCTAACGGAAGAAGAGTGGCGGAATCTTTGAATACTTTCTAGCTGAGTCACTTAGGAGGTTGAATGGAAACGCCTCGATGAGGAATTGTGAATGAGTTAAACGATAACCAGCAGCACCATGAGTGCAGTGTGCAATTATCCTTTCATTAAACACAATTGTCCATTGACAATGACACTGATTAGAGGAGAAAAATAGTGACCGCACTCATGGGCTCATGGCTCCAGCAATTTGCAGAAACCTTTTCAAACCAATTACTTGCGGCACGAATGCAATGTTGTAATGTGTGTTTGTGTGTGTGTGTGTGTGTGAGTGAGTGAGTGAGTGAGTGAGTTGTGAGTGTGTAAGTGTATGAGTGTGTGTGTTATTTAACTATTTTCTTGACGATTTACTTACACCGAATAATCGATCCCAAGGCATACATCGTACTGCGCGCACACACACACATAAATAAACGCGAGAATTGAAGTTTAGCAAATATTTCAAACACAAATACATACATACATACATACATACATACATATGTATGTATGTCTCTGGTTGTAGTTGTTATTGTTATATGTTTTAGTTGAAATCATAAAAACAGTCTTATCATTAGGATGATAAGTAGTTGAAATAATAATTTGCTTTAATTGCGACAAAAACACAATCGGTGTCTGAATCAGCATCAGCTTTCAGTTATCGGTGCAGCGAGCAGGGCCCTTGAGGAGCCTTTTTTGGGTGCACTTGGATCGTTGGACAACAGAGTGGCATGCAAAACACAGTGAAGACGATCAACATAGCATTGCATTACACATATAGGTGGGTGGTGGGTGGGCTGTGGGTGCGTATTGAAAACTGATACGTTTCGATCCCTAAGCCTTTTTTTAATATTATTGTGAGTTGGTATTTGAAAACAGTCTGGCTTTAATTCAACAGGATGTACACACATACATATATTTTGTGCTTCTCTTAACTAATACACAATACGATTATTAATAGTATGTAGAGTAATGTAATTAAAGTATATTTCTTAATTCAGAGTTAAAAATGCCTGCAGCAGCAATTTACTTAAAACAAATTTTAGTACCTAGCTAATCTAATCACATGGATATACACATGTATAAAAACAACACACTTATTCATGATTCACGACAGTAATACATAACAGCAATATAAAAAGCCAGTTTGGTTTCGATTAGCTTAGAACAGTGTGTATATAGTAGAGTAGAAAATTACAAACTCGTTAAGACAAATCGTGGACGAATTTATTTCATTTCTTTGATTGATAATTGTATTAACTTTAAATATTTAAATAACATATTTATAATGCTGTACTCTTATGTTAACGACTTAATTACAGGTAATGCAATTTTCTTATTAAATTCTCCGCATATTCATATTTATTTTGGGAAACATTTCATTTTATGGACTTCTAAGCAACTTGGTGTGGGGTTTTCAAAATCAGCTCATCAGCCAGAATTTCGAGCATTGTGGTCAGACATCCAAATAATGTGCTTACAAATAAACATAGTGCTGTTTCAACATAGACTAATCAGAACTCCGAATACTAACAAGAAATTCTAGTCTTTAACAAACTTGTTTGTCTGCAAATATTTGCAAATTTGACCGTGGCTTAACATAATTTGAATTTCCATTTCATTGATATGGGTACCATTATGATGAGCATTATTTTAATGATTACAATTCATCAGAATTACAGTTGGTGTTAACTTTGATTTCACACTAGCACTAACTACTTATATATATGTTATATATAATATTTTGCAATATCTGCAATGCACTGGCACAGAAGAAAACTCTCGTTCTCATTTGCTGGGAGGGGAGAGGGAATGTTCTGGGTAAGTACAATCGTTTCGATGGTTTATAACTTACAACACTAACCGGCTAGAGCTTCGAGGTGTAAAAACATGAAAATAAATCATTAAGAATCAGATTACTAATATTATTATTAAAAATGTGGCTGCTCTAATTGTAAGTAATTGGCTTTAAATTACGCCTTTTATTTATAAAGTCGTTCATTTATTATGTTGGCTAGAGCAGCGTATATCACAGTCGGCGTGTGTATGTAGGTATGTAAGTACTCGTACATTTAAATTGTTTATATATAGGGTATAGATATAGGTATGTATATGTACAATTGATTTTATTAATTGCGCCTGTTAGTTGCTTTTTGAAACTTTAGTCATTCAGTGCCTAATTATAAAGATGTTTCTTGACAATACATTTACAATACTTGTATAAGTATACAGGTAGTTATCGATTTACAATTGCATTTACAAATGGATATGAGTTCGTTGCCCTGAGCATACCACTAACAAAGTGCTCTGGTTTTCACGTAGTTGCAGAAATATTTACATATTTACAGAAAGTTTATTCCAAATATTGCAAACATTTTCGTAGCTTTTGATGTTTTATATCGATAGATATTTAGAAGGCGAAACCTCTCAGTTAGATGTGCAAAGTGGTCATGGTTGTGGAAGTGGACGCCTCGCCTGCGGCGTTAGTTTCAACTCCGTCCTCCAGTGGCTCGCCGCCGCCCTCAATCTCGCCTTGCTGAGAGTCGCGTCCTCCGCGCCAGCGCTGCCGCTTTCGACTTTGCTGCAACTCGCTCGTGTCGTCCTCAAACTCCAAGCTTACCACCCGTAGCTGCCGCTCAGAGGCCGCCACGCTAAGGGAGCTGCGTTTCCGGAGTTGCGGGACGGGCTCGGAGCCCGTGAGGTGTAGCCGGGACACCCATCTGAAGCTGGAGTTCCTTAACCTGCCGATCATAGTCTGGCTGCTCTTTCTTTGGTGCGTTAGTGCATGGATTTGAGTTTTCCAATTTCATAATTTGTTTGTCGTTTGTTGGATTTTTGTTTGATTGATTGATTTATTTATTTTGTGCGCATATGTATTGATGGGTGCAGCATTTAAGGATTCGGGTTAGTTGCGGATAATTTGAAAAAATGCGGTTTTTAATTCCAATTCGATGGTTCGTAAAAAGAGAAATGAGCAAATGGTGATGCATGGCAATTGGTTGACGAGGATGGACGATTGATTGATGTAAGGGTAGAGGAAGAGAGAAAATTACATTTTAGGGACTTCAGTCTCGAGAATATTGCTCTAAACAACAATAATGAGTGTACAAATTAATTACAAAATGAATGTCTCTATGTTTCACTCGTTCGAATTAAAAATCTAATTTTATTTGAACTTTATTCAATAAAATTGTGTTTGTTTCTTTCAATGCATTATGCTTCGGTTTGGCGATGTCGAGGGTTCATATCTTATGCTATGTACAACCAAATGCCTTCTAAACTACGATGACCATATATAGTAGTAAGTAATTTTGTAAAATATAAAATCGTTAAGACAAGCAAATGATTTCCTGGTTTAATCTCTTGGTATGACCCCGATTTGAATGAGTTTATAATTAGTTTACAAGTGTTTTTGTGTGCTTAAGCTTACGTAGTTTTAGAACAACAACTAATTACAGAAAATATTGCTTAAAGAGGACTGCTTCGATTAAAGAATGTCTACTAATATATGCATATTGTAAAACTTATATAGTGCAACCAATAGCAATCCCATATTCTATTCTAGCAGCATCTTCGATGCAATATCTGCTTAGAATAGTTACAGATTTATATATTTACATACATATGTATGTAGATTTTATTTATGTACATCACAAATGTAGTTCTTCTTCTTATATATTTTGCACGTATCAGTTTTCGCGTGCACCTGTGTTGAATTTTACATTTTAAAATAATATGTATGTATATCAAACATCAACTAAATATTTGTTGGCACATTCCTGCTCCCTGCCAACAATATGTATGTATGTATTTATAACGAAATGCAAGAAATGTATTGTATTGGAAAATATTGTAATTGGCAGCCTTGAAGGACTGGGCCTCTCAAAATATAACAGAACAAATGCAAGACAAAAAAACTACGATTAGTTGGAGTTATTTTCTTGTGAGCACTTTAGTTAAAGACTTGTGGTAAGTATTAGTCTTGTTGCTTTTTATGAACAAAAGTGTTAGGCACATACATACATACGTACATAAAAAGTTCAACAAACACAATTTAAACAATTTACACAAAAACCATACATACTTACATATCTATATGCATATACATACATACATGCATACCATGTATGTAAGTATGTTCGATTATGAATGAATATCGTGCTATGAAACATTGTACAGGTGATAAGGAATATTAGGTGGCGCACTTTTCCGGGCGCTTTTACAACTACAATAAGCGTTAGCTACCGAATGCAGCTTTTAATTTCAGAAGCTCAAATGTTAGGGTTATATATAAGAAGCAAGACGTAAAAGCTCTACATAAAACTCTGTAAAAATGCGCAACAATTCAAATTGAAAAATAAGTTGTGTTCGGTTCAATTTTGTTTTTGCAGGAAAACAATAATTGAATTAAAAGACAATGACGATTGCTATGCCAATCATTTCAATTGCAAGAAAATAAATTCGCGTATGCATTTTTGATCTTTAAAATACTTACGAAGAGCGCGACTCGCTCATGACTTGTTCGGGATCGTTTCGCTGGATTTCTGTTTCGCGCACCGCTTCGGTGAGTGTTTTGAAAACTGTGTTGTGAATGCTGAAGAAGAAAAAGGGTAAGTCCCCGCAGAATAATACAAATATGTTATGCAATGACGTACAGTTTGCAGATCACATCTATGAGCAGCGTTGTTATGGGCACGAGTGGCAGGCCCAACCAGAAGACGGGTGTCGAGAACAACTGAATGTCCATGCCGGCAAAGTTGGTTGCAAAGTTGAAAGTTGGCCAAAAGTGACTGTAGACGAGAACGAAGCTAAACCAAAGCGCAATTGATCCCCAAATGGCGGCATGTGTTAGCCACGTCCAGGAACTGGTAATCAGGCCCGCTTTCAGACAAACCGTAACCACCACATACTGCAACGAAAAAAAATGCATTCCTAGTTCTAAACTTTAGGAAACTCCATTCTTACCGTGTACACAATGTTGCCCAGCATTAGGTAATCACTCGTCTTTCCATCGCCCCAAATGTTCTCCGATTTGTATGCAACTATGGGCAGCCAGAAGAGGAATACCGAATGCAGCAACGCATTACATATCCAAATCCAAAACACCTTCACATTAAAGAGCTGGGCAGTCTGTGATGGCTTATACAGCAGCGGATACCTCAGCATAGTATCGGCCGTACAAAACTTTTCGAAGAGGCCGATGGCGAACGGTGGGAGAGCCGTAAACACCACATTGTACAGACCAATTGTCCAGCGCTCGAACAGAATCTGGCCCGACCAGCCCGAATAGACGGCAAACCAGAGTTCAATGACATAGAGGCAGACATTCTTGTAGAAGCTGTACAGGATCAGCTTGCTTATGCGCGCATAGTTCCAAGCACCGTGCACCAACAGCAGACGCTTCAAGAAACGAAACTGGGCAATGGAGTAATCGGAGGCACACGACGCCTGCAGACCTTCCACGCCCGAAATGCCAATGCCAACGCTAGCCTTCTGTATCATCGCCACATCGTTGGCACCATCGCCAATCGCTAGCGTTACGGCTTTGGTGCTCTGCGTAACCATTTCTACGACCTCAGCCTTCTGTATGGGCGAGACCCGACAGCAGATAACGACGCGACAAATAAGACACAGCTCCTGAAAATCACCACGCAAGTCGCAGCTTAGCGCATATTTAAGCGTCTTCCCATCAATGACAAGGGCCACGTTCACATCTTTTGCCGTAGAATGCTTGAATTCGTCCGAATGCCGATGGATAACATCGCGTGTAGCCTGCAAAAAAATAAACAAATCAGATACTGCTTTCCACTCCTCCTCCCAAACGTGTATTATCTTACGTCCAAACTCTCCTCGTTCAGTATGATAACGTCCATGGAATGCGAAATCAGCTTGCAGGAGTAGCCGATATTAATGGCCGTCTCCTGCTTGTCGCCTGTCAGCACCCAAATGTAAATGCCCGCATCCAATAGGGAAGCAATGGTATCGGGTACGCCGTCCTGCAGGCGATCCTCGATGGCAGTTGCACCCAATAGGCGTAAATTGTTCTCGATAAGGTTGGCCGCGTCCTCGACCTTGCGCTCCCGATACTGTAGCGACGTGGAGGCCTTGTGGTAGGTCTGCTGCCACTCGTCATACACCTCCGGTGGGATTTCGGTCACTGCCAGGCACAATGTGCGCAGACCCTCCGATGCGAATTCCTCCAGATGCTGCAGTGTTGTCTCGCGATAGGCCTGATCCCGTGCCGCCAGTCTCTCGTAAATAACCGAATCGGCGCCCTTGCAAAACAACTTAATGTTTCCTTCGGGCGTGCGCACAATCAACGACATGCGCTTGCGCGTCGATGTGAACTCCAGGACATTAAGTACCTCGTACCGCTTTCGCTCGCCCAGAGCATTGATCTCGACATACTCGGGTGTGCGTGTATCAAAAATATAGCCAAAGTAGCGAGCCCCATCCACCAGAGCGCGTTCATCGGGACTGGCTGCATGATAGATGATGGTGCCGTCCTCCTTTTTCTCTGGTATAACGGTGTGGCACACAGCCAACAGTGTCAGGAATTCCTCAATGTCCTCGGCATTCTCGTGCCTACTGATTATGTTCTGTACCAGCAACGACTCTGATGGTGTTCGTTCTGGCTCGTAAATCTGTGTGGCGATCGAGCACTTCTTAAACACCATCACATTGCGGGTCAGCGTGCCCGTCTTGTCGGAGAAAATGTACTTCACCATGCCCAGCTCCTCATTCAGGTTGGATGTACGCGCCATTGCAGGCGTGTCCGATTCCTCGTGATACATCTCAATGTCGTAGTTGATGAAAATCGCCTGCAAGAAACGCACCAACTCCAGAGTCACTTGAAGGGATATGGGTATAAGGTTGTTGTACAGGATAAAGAAGGTCAGCAGATTGTAGCCAAGGCTCTTGCTTTTATGGTCGCCCAAAGCCAAATACCAATCCGTCATGAAGTGTTTGTTGGTCCAAAACAAGCTACACAGACCACTGGTAATGCACAGGGAAATTAGGATCATGAACAGCATCAGTATCTGCGTGTTGGTCAGCTTGTCGACCGTCGAACGCTTCAGCGGCGCTGAAGTAGAGTTCTTCATGAGCTTTGTCTCGTGCCCGGTGTAGACGACAATCCCAAAGATCCACGAGGTGTTGCGGAGCATGGCGCCCCTCTGCAGAACCTGATCACTGCCCAGTGCAACGACTCTGCAATCAAAAGCGGTTAGCCAAATAACCAATGCATTAATTGACTCCACTTACGGTTTCCCATACTCTTTGAGTACGCCAGTAAATTCGTACAAAAGCCGATTAGGTAGCTCACATTCAATAGTGCCCTCCAACTGCTGTAGGTCTTTAGTCTCAAGTAGCTTGGCTGTGGCCGGCACACCCTGACGAATTTTCAAATTAGTCTCCCCATCCAAATTTGCTGTTTCGATAAAACACATTGCCTGCGGTTCGCTGAAGCCCAGAAGACAGAAATATTCATAAATAAAAACCCAATTTGAAATAACAGCATAGCTCACCTGGAGGACAGCAAGACCAAATCTGCTGGGAAAAAGGTATCGTTGCTCACTTTGACGATATCCCCAACAGTCAGCTCCGACCATCGCACTGTTTTCCAGGTACTAACCTCTAGACGGTCGATCAAACGATGATTGATTTCATTGTCAGCCCGATGGCGTTTCTATAGATAATGAATTCATGGAATAAGGTTGGTTACTGTTAAAGACTGGCGGACCCTTAAAACACTTACAATATCCTCAATAATCTCCTTAATGGCACTAACTGATAAAATGAATATCAGCGGGACTAGTGTGGTGTAGCGGCCTGTAGGTGATACATCCGGTATTTGTTGTAATAATGCAATCAGCAGGAAAAAGCAATTTGAATAGCGTCTAAATTGCTCAAACAGGAACGACGGCAGGAAACTAATAACACTGTAGAAACGATGGGGAATTAATGTAATAACACTTTCAGGAATTGAGATAACATTTAAATGCTTGTTTAAATTTATTTATTATATCCACGCCCTTTATACCGTACTTTCCTATTTTAAACAAGGTCGCTAAAGCTAAAGTCCAATGCCCTGACTTTAAAATACTCTACACCTACATATGTGTAGAATAATTATATAATAAAAATAATACAAGAAAATATAAAAACAAGTAACACAGTTGTAATACTGAAAAAAAATTAAGCTATCAATGAACTCTTGCAGAAAAGCACACATTTCTGCGCAAATTATTTACATGTCGAGCAGCGAAAGCGAGCAGCCAGGCTTATTTGTTAAAGTGTTAAATAGTTTTTGCTATCATTTGTTTCTTGCTAATTTGTTTCTTGTTCCATTTGTTCCGTTATTTCAATAGGTTGACAAATGTCAGTTATGAAAATGATTGATATAGCCATTTAATTGATAATGAGTAGCTGAGAAGCTCAACAACATTTCTAAATTAATCGCTTGGCCATCTGTGTCAATCAATTGAAAACCCGTTATCAGTAATACTCACTTATATTTCGCTGTTGATATCCGATTGTTACAATATTTCACGGGTTGCGCCGAGTTTAATGCAATAATACGTCGTTCGCTGTCGTCCGCGCCAAAGCCGGCGGATGATGTGAAGTCCTCATCGTCTGTAAAAAGTCACACAACCGATTTAAGTTAGCAAGAATATTACCAATTCTTTTTAGAAGCTTAGATTGATTTAGCATTAGCTTACTGAAACACATACATACTAATCAATATCTCCATTAGATAAAAAACACGAATACAAATTTGATCAAGTTTATATTCGAAAAGGTCAAAGGCATTAAAGAAACATGTCATCTACTCATCGTCTTTCAGAGTGAGAATCAGAGGAGTTTAGTTTACTGAAACTCCTTAATGAAATTGAGTGTTTAGTCATATGTTCAAAAACAGCGTAATCGCAGGTTAAATTCCATTCGGACATAAAGAAATTGGCTGCTACCGGATTGCCGAGTGCGTACTTTTTGGCAAATCGATTTATACTAAAACCCCCTCTAGTCTCAGTGCTGTCGAACGGAATGTACGATTCATCGAAATCGAGCTCGCATATTTGCTTGTAGGCCACAAAAAGGTAGCGATGCATGCCAGTTCCCATATCCGGACGACTGCCCACGTAAGCAGTCAGCTCTTGCCCGTTGATCACGTCGCAGCCGGGAACGTTCCCCACCAGCCAATTTTGCCAGGAACGACTAGAATGGTCTGCCCGACTCGGAAAATCTAGATCGATCATCATAAAGGTATAGTATTTGTACGGTTCCGCCTGCCACCGTAGTATTGGCGGCTTACGTACTTCGTCCGGCTTAATGAGAAGGCCCGGCTCGACTTGGATGTCGCAGGGATAAAGCGCGCTGATGATCCCACGAGGTGCGCAGGGCAAAACATCGGGTATGAGTCGATGCTTCTTCAATAACTTGCCCATATCCGCAACTGGATCTCGCGGCACGCAGGTGATGAGCATTACGATGGATAAATTTTGAAAACCTATCGGGGTGTGTTGGGATTTAGGAGAAATGAAAAGCCTGACTGGGCTTGCCGGGGTTTTCTCTTTTAAAATTCTTTTCATTTGGGCTATGGTTGGGGTTGAGCTTGGCTCGAAAACTTACGGCTCCAGCGCATGCGTAATGCCTTGTACACATTTCGAAAAGACATGATGTTCCTACGGCGTCGTCGTTGCGTGTTAGCGCGTCTATCGCGCTCCCGCAAACGATTTTGATGCAGCCGATGCCGTTGCAACAAAGCTGCAGCTGCTGAAGATGTGGCCTCGTCGTCGCCCAAAGCGGTATCGCAAATGGGCACGTGCTCCTCCACCTCTTGTCTCCACAGACCCACCGCCGTCGCCGCCACCCCACGTGCCTCCTCTTCCCCGTCGTCGTTGTTGTTTTCGTTCTCCTCCTCACTGCCAGAATTGCAATTGCCAACGGCCACAAAGGCGATGCTCTCGCCGGCAGAGTTGTGTTTACGTTTTGGAAACCCCAGACTGAATGTTGAGAGAGGGAGAGAAAGACTCGCACAAACGTAAACACACTCTCTCAAGAACGCACGATGACTGACGAGTTCACTCTACAAGTGGCTGGTGTATAAGAGAGCAAGAAAGTTTTCTTTCGCTCTTTCTCTCTTTGCGCGCAAATTAGCTCTCCCTTTTTAAGCTTTTCGCTTATTGGAATCCGTCATGTTGCACCGTTATTGTTTTAACCTTTGGCATTTGTAATTGCAATTGGTTGGGTATTGATATTTCGTTTTCTTTGCGCTTCATATAAAGTTCACTTCCGCAGTTCCCCGTCTGGTTTTAGAAAATCTGGACGATTTGAACGCAGATGCCGTGAAAAGTGCGGTCGAATAAAACATTTAGGCTTGACACCCATAAATACAGACGAACACAGACAATGCGGTGCCGTTCAAGGACACGTCAGGGCAGTACAGGGATGTGGCAGCTACAGTATCGAGCTTTATATTATATTCATGCATATGTCACATATTTATGTATATATCTAGTCGATTCACTTGAACCTTGAACTTCTTTGCTTCTAGCTGCTTTGAACTTTTTCACACCTAACAGTCTTCAATAGCCAACACTTTTTCTCATTTGTATTTCATTATACATGTTATATGGTTTTACTTATTTTTGCATTATCGATTTGTCACAGCTTCGGTGCCCCAACATCGGCAATGGGACTGCAACTATACCCGAATGATGTAATTACTAATTACAATCGCAGGGTTGATGTTTTCTTTTGAAATCAACACCTGAATTATTAAAGCACTTGTATTCACAAGGAATTGTCAGAAAATGTGGTGCACATCACTGTTAAAAAAAAAGATGGTTTGCGCGTGTGTGTATTGGTTGATGAAATAGGCCACGGTTTACAGGACACCAACAAGGACACAGACACGGGCTCGGAGTTGAACAAACCAGGCGAATTATTTGCTGCGTGTTGTGCTCTCTTGCACCTTGCCGTTGCGACTGAAACGCAAAACGCGTAGCAAGCAACAAAAGGAATCACTCTGACAACTGGGGTGAAGACGACGTCGCCATTGCCTCTGCCCGCATGGGAAATCGTTTTCGCACGCTGGCACAAAGCACGAAAGATGTTCGCGTTCAGGTCTGCTGTCCTTTGGGTGGGAAAAGGGTTTGACTGCCTTTATTTTGCTGCGTATGTGTTTAGCATCACAATCGCATTCTCGTGCCATTATCCTTCTCGGCTCTGCTGTTCGCCTGTTCCACGGAGTATGCCAACTTTTGTGTGTGCGCGCACACCCGTTGCGGAGTGTACACACACATTTAACTTGGTTGTGTGTTTGTGCGAGCTGACGAGTGTTGTTAAGGAAGCATTTAAAAACCTTCCCTCGGGGAGAGGCCTATGTTTGAGCTCAAATTTCCCATATGTGATGGAGCTATACTCACTCGTACTCGCCCTCGCTGGCATACTTTTGTCATAATCAACCATAAATTCCGTCATTACACTAAACAAACGAACTCAAATTTTAGAAACAATTAGATCTAGCTATTCTAATCATACATATACAATCATACACAGCACATATATGTATATGCATACATAAAATAATAGTTGATAATAAACATATAGTATATGTTTAAAAAATGCGATTTAGTTTCCTAGCCAATTAAAAATGTTCCAAGTCATTTATCAGTTGGTCTTACATCCGGGCAAAGAAAACAATGAATAGTGTTTAAGAATAACAATAAGATTTTATTTCAGTTAAATAAATTTACTGAAAGACAATTAGTCTGAAGTTTGTGAGACAAATAGGAAAGAACCACTGACCCCGGTTCAAAAAAAAAAAAAAAGTTTAAAAAATATTTTAAAAAATGTTCAAACAAATATTACATTAAACAGCATCACGATAAAATCGCAATAAAATTGATTCTTCAAAACAGTTGTTCAATAGTTCCATACTTATATCTACACCATACAAAATTCTAAGATCAAAAGACAATGGGAATAATAACTAAATATATAATAAAGTTATCCTTTTGTGTATTCTCTGAATTCATTAGATATCATTACACCTAATTCTGTTTTGACACGTTCTTTTTTACACGATTTTGATATATGTAACACGGTTTGAAAATGAAATTAAATTGCATATATGAAAGTATGTATGTATATTTCTTTAGAGATAAGGAATCATATATTTTTGCATATGATCAATATATTTTTTAACAAGGTTGTTTCTTGATCCAATCTACCGTGTAAAAACATTTGATTACAAAGGTTGTGGTATGCGGGTGTACAGCTTCTACCTCATTTGAGCTTTTGGAAATCTTTAAGTTGTTTGGTTACATCAAAATTACAGATGTATGTAGAAGAAGTCCAGCATTGCGTTCTTCCTAAATTAAAAAACCTTCACTGTTCCTATATCGACTGATAATGATTGGCTACACATGTTCAAGTTCAATAAAAATCAATTGGCTATCCAAATGGACAAATGGACAAATGGTGGTGACAGCAATTGATGGAAGAGCGCCAATTGATGACGTGAAAATAGGTATGAAACGCAGCGCGAAAATTGTAAGCAAAACAAAACGAGCCGAAAAAATAACCCGAAAATGCATGCGCCGTGAGAGCGCGTAAAGGCGCTACACAACTGAGATTCGGGGAGAGATAAAGAGTGTATGGGAGAGTACGAAAGAGAGAGAGAGAAAGAGAGCGCACATGCGCTCTGTGGGAGAGTCAAGCTGAAAGGAATTATTGGTACAATAATATGCATGCATAACTAACTACATATGTACAAATAAGTTGTACAAATAAGAAGGAAGTTGTGTTTATACACACGTTTTGGCGGTTTCCTCAGTCGTAGTTTCTCCAGAAGGTAACGCTTGGGGGAAGTACAGAGACGTGCGGGTCCCCTGCAGTTCCCATAGGCCGTTATGCGTCTCATTGGTATGCCAGCATCCACTTCGGTGGCGGTTTCAGCACGACGTCTTGAGCCATTTGGTACGCTCGGTCTTGGTTCCACTTGTGCTTGCTCTCTTGATCGCCGTCCTGCCCCCGCATCCTGGTCCTGACCAGCAGGACCCTCTTCTCCATCATTTGGTGGCGCAAAGCCTGTAGGCTGCAGAGATGCGGTGTGTCGCAATGCAATTCCTCTCAGCTGCCGCAGGCAACGGTAACACCACTGCGGCACCTGTTGCACCAATCTTGTGTTTGTGGGCGCGGCTTCAACTTCTCGCGCTCGGTTTTGAGGATTTCCATTGACTCTGCTGCTATCATTTTGATTAATAATGCTACTGCTGCTTTTATTATTGCCCGGCTCTGTCATTTTGACATTGTTCTACAAACACTTCTGGTAGCAGGCTATAAGGCTGTTTATAAGTATCACATCTGCTTATTTAAATTTACACAAGCGCGAATTTGAAAGGCACTACTGGATTCTGTTTTTACACTTGATTGGCATTTTCGTGTTCACTCAAATATATTGTTGGATTTATGTTTTGGTGTGTTTTCTTTATAGACACTTGTAATATGTACGTGTAGAAAATATCTTGAGTGCATCTTTCATCATTTTCCATGCTGTACACAATTTCAGGTTTAAAAGAAACTTGCACGATTGCTGCCAAGTGGAACGTAAATCAGTTATTTTATGATTATGTCAAAAACAAATATTAACCTAATGATTAACGGAATGCACACAGTAAATTAAATCCAAACGAACGCCTTAAATGTTCGGTCGCGCAAACATGTAGAATAGATTCATTTGCAAATGTTTTCATTGCTAATAACAAGATGGGTAATGACCAAAAGTGACAATCAACACAACACACCTCATGTGTTATCTAACTTCCAACTAATGCCGCAACCACAAACTTACAGTTCCGTCATGAGCTTGCCCATCGGCCAACGAACCTACTTCTTCTACGACTCCCCCTTCTCTACTAACAGTCCCACAGTACGTGCCAGAATAACACAGACTTTCATTGTCTGCCCAACTTGGACAAGCTTCCATTTGCGTGTGGCGGCCATTTACCACGGCGCTGACGTGATTAGAGACGATAACTTTGTTTGCCTAGTAGGCAAGGGAAAAAAAGAAAATCGAAAAAGAAATTATCATTTGGTCTTACATTCTGGCTGTACCTGAGGGCGTTTCAATAGCAACACCCAGCTATCTGAAACCAAGTCGCGCCTCGCCCTCTTCCTCTTTTAAAAGTATTTGGTTAGCGCCTAGATACCCCGATACCGCAATACCGTAAATGCAAATTATAGTTGCAGTACTGCATGTTGTTGTTACTCAATGAGATTAGGAACAGAGGCGCTAAATTGTTTGGACGGGAAAGTGCTAAGGTTACTTTTGAAAATGTAAATCGCAAAAGTCGACAACAAACACATCGATAACCATATACTACCATACTACCACTTGTATAGTATATGGAACTCATTCAATTTTTTAAAAAAAGCATTGCGTAGTCATGGATAATAACCATTAGTAAGCTGTCTATGCTGAAAAATAACAACATTTTCCAAATTTAAACCGTGTAGCTAGATAGTGGACTAATGCGAGGTCTACCATATTAATGCAGATTAATGAACGGAAATATAATGAGGCTTCTACAGTTAAAAAAAAGTGGCTTTAATACGTTTTTAATATCAGCTATTTAGCATCGGATTCAATGTATATTTAATATGCTAGCTGTCAACTAGTGTTTATAATTACAACAAACTTTTTCCAATAATTAAACAGCAAAAGTGAAAAGGCTTACTGGGAAATCGATATTAGAGGTCTAAACACTTATGGTGTTAAATTGAAAAACCCCACAACCATCATCATAATAGCGAGCAGTTATTTGTTGGAAGCATGTGCATATTTTTGTACTTGAGTTCAACGGTCTGTTTTAACCCACTGACAAGATAGTACTAGTTTTTTTTTTTAGTGTAGATCCAACAATAAGTAAATATGTTCATACATATGTGCTCGTGAGTAAGAAATTCTTATGCAAAGCATACTCTCTAACCTTTGCCAGCAATTTACGCCACACCATCAACCAGCCCATTTATCGATTGGGCTGGTTTCCTGGCCAGGCCCTGCACTTGGTTCTCTAGTTCCTCAATGTACAGCGCGTGCAAGTACCAAGTAGGTTTAATGTCTACTGTCCTTGGTTGAAGAAAGTAAATTGGTAATCGTAAATGGCTAGCAATTATAAAACCCTTTAGAAATGGCAAAATTAGTCATTAATATTTATGAATCTGCACTAAAAATAGCACAAATTATTGGTGACTTTTTTTTGGCCGATTACACTAATTACAGCCGCTGTAATAGAATAAGTAATGAGACCAGCAAAAGCAGCAAAAACAAACATCACACATACGCCCCATTGGACGGCCGACTGAGCGAAAATAAAAATATGCGACGCTGGCATTTTTATTCGAAAAATCTTTCAATCACGCTTTGGAATACACCGCACACTCAGAGGGTGCGGGGAGGAGTCAGATGGATAGACGAACCAATACAGAAATCAGACAGACAAAAGGCATTTGTGTCTAGTTCGTATGTACAGCGTAGTGGCTGTTAAATATATACATATTCATATGTATTTTTTGTTTTGCTCGTGACTGCCTCTAAAAATATCAACATCAAAATCCAATTACGAGTATATATTCATACTATATATGCTTTTTGGATTCCTTCCAAACTTGCATTCAATTTTTTCTAGTAATTTTATATTACAAAAAAAAAAACACGCATACGCACTGTGTGTGGAACCAGCTCTACATTATATTTTGCGACAAATCAGTAGCCGTAGTTGAGAAATATGTAGTACTTATCTAAATATATATGATTCACGGACATTTGTTGTTGCCGACTTGTGTAACTAATGCATATACATATACAAATATTTACATCTTCTAATTAACCTCAGCTCTCAAAACCTCAGGCATAAGACTTACGTAAATGGAACGAGTGATGAAAAACTTTACGATCCACACAGCTGTGCACAATGCATTTAACTGAACGTTCATGGCCACTAAATTAGTCAAATGGTTGCACTTTGTGCAGACACCCACACACATACGACATATGTACATACAAATGTATATGTACCCGTATATAGTAAATAGTTATAGTTGAAAAGTTTATTTTATTTACTGACAAGTCTGCCACAGCGCAGTCATATCTATACTACTAATCAAATTCAAACAAGAAAAGAGCCAGCTCGCGCTCATAATTTAATAAAAACTTTTACTCTAAACTGACACAATAAAAGTATTCGTACGAGGCCGCAATATGGAACATACTTACACACATCCATTATATGTGTGTGTTTGTGTGCAAGTATCTAGATAAGAAAATAATTAAAGACGACACGAATTTTAAAAACGTACTAGCACATATACCTATGTAAGTAAGTATACACATATTTGTAGAAGTTAGTTCTGTATTTTGAGCGCATACGAGCCCAAAAGGTAAACAATGGAGTGAAAATGGAAATGGAAAAGGTCAACATTTCATGAAAATAGCATTAGTGTTTATTTACGTTGTATGTATGTATGTATGTACATACCCGTAAGCATGAGTATCTTCTATTGTGGTTACTTTTTGTTAAAACAATACGATGTGAGTGCTTCTTAATGACATACACAATGTACATATGTAAATATGTGTGATATTTTAGAACAATTGTTGTACACTGCGGGCAACAATTTTAACACACACTTACAAAAAATTTCATTCACTTGTGAAACACCCTATGGCAAGAACAAAACAAGTAGAGAAGCTAAAGTCGGGTATCCCGACTTTGAAATACTCTGTACATATGTATGTGTAGAATAATTATGAGTGTATGTGTGTGTTTGTGTGTGTCTGTGTATGTCTCGTGTTCCTGAGCAAAGCAGTAACAATAATCCTGTTTAATCGGCCTATCATTATGAAACTGGAATTTGAACTTATAATCACTAACTGGAGGTATTTGCGAAGTTTGAGTTCGAAATTCCAAAAAATACAAATTTTTTGCGTATTCTCAAAAGGCATCGTGGACTCAACTTTGGTGTTCCTAGGTCCTATAGTCTCCAAGATATAGGCGATTATACGAATGGAAAATCGGGAAAACCCCCATAGGGGGGAAGTAGGGGGAAATCAAAAAAATAAAACAAACTTGCACAGTGTGTCTCTAGCTCTTATAGTCTCCGATATCCAGGTGTTCATACGGACGGACAGACAGACGGACAGACAGTGCTAGATCGACTCGTCTTGTCACGCTGATCAAGAATATATATACTTTGTGGGGTCTGCCACGCTTCCTTCTGTCTGTTACATTTTTCAGCTCGAGCAAACCTAGTATACTCTTATACATTTCATGTACAGAGTATAATTAAAATCAAATTTTTTTATCTCTGAGCTGTGCGTGAATGCATGCGAGCACGAACACTAATAGACACCCGCTAAAATTTCATTGAAGTTCGTGAAGAGCTCTTCTTCTATGCCCTGACAAAATTCCACAACTTCACGGAAAGCTACCCTGCTGCCATACTATTAAATAAATGATAAAAATGGAATAGAACAAGAAAGGAATGCTAAAGTCGAGCAGGCTCAACTCTTAAATACCCTGTACCACCCCACAAAAAAGTAATTAAATTAATTAATTAATTTAATTTAATTAATTAACTACATTAATTTAATTAATTAACTAAATATTAACTAACTAACCATGCATGGAATATATTAATATAATTAATATATTCCATGCATGCATACATACATTTACATTTCCATCAGAATCGTGCCTTATGCGTGTTTGTGTACTTGCACATATGTATGTATGTGTGCATTGGGCCTGGTTATATGGCTATAACTTTCTTTCCGATCATGCTATCATAATGAAACTTGGTATACGGATATATAATTACTAACTGGATGTGTCTACCAAATTAGTTCAAAATTCCAAGAATTACGGGAGTTATAGAAAATCGTTAATAGGGGGGGAGTGGAGGGGTGGATCAGAAAAAATAAACAAACTCGTCCTTTCTCGGTCTCAGGAGAATCTGTATACCAAGTTTGGTTATTCTAGCTCTTATACTTTCGGAGATCCTTGCGTTCATACAGACAGACGGACATGGCTATATCGACTCGGCTTGTCATGCTGATCAAGAATATATATACTTTTGGGGTCTACCAAGCCTCCTTCTGTGTGTTCCATGTGCACTCGCACAAAACTAATATACCCTTGTACCCTTTGGGTACAGGGTATAAAAAGGTATGTAATGGTAATGTTTACAAATTTTGTGCGGAAAGGTAAGGAAAATGTGTAAATTTCGTGCTTGTAACAATTGTGGCGGAATTTTTCATCATGCGCCCACCTCTAGGTCAGACGAACAATTAGTAAGTCTGACAATAAAATTGGCGTATCGGCTTGTCATGATGATTAACAATGCATACACTTTTTGGAAAACAGCACACCCTCTTTAGCTGTTACAGTGCACGAATTCGCTTTAACTTTTTATACCCTGTACCCGTAGGGTAAAAAGGGTATATTAGGTTTGTGCAAAGTATGTAACATACAGAAGGAAGCATCTCCGACCCCATAAAGTATATATATTCTTGATCAGCATGACGAGAGAAAT